ACAATGCAGCTACTCCAACTTCAAGTACAGCAGCTACACCAACTCCAGTGACAAGTAGAACAGCTACTCAAACCTCAACAGCAGCAGTCAATGCAGTTGCTGGTGCTATTCAACCCCCAAGGACAGTGGCTGCACCAACCCCAACAACAAATACTTCAGCTACTCCAACCCTAGTGGCACACACTACAGACGCTCCAACCACAGTGACAATCGCTGCACCTAAACCAGAGGACCAATCCATGCCAATATCGGTTGCCCCTGTACACAAGGGGAAAGCAAACAAGAGGCACAAAGAGCAACCGGTACAGTGAAGAAAGATGAAGAACCAATCCACTTACTACACGGGACAGCATCTGGACAAGAGTTATTATTATGTGGATCAGAGGAAAAGGAAGAAGAAAAGGTGACTTCTCGACCCCGGACCTCAACCAAGGTATGGAATATGCAAAAAGATTTCAGCCATCATCCAGGGGTCACATCATCACCTGATTGCTCCAATGCTGGGACAATGGTGCCAATGGTCATGAACTAGAAGGTAGGGAAGCCAAGCAGCTGGGATCACTTGCCAGGGAAAGCAGAACTGACAAAGCAGTTGCAAAAGAGAAACTGTCCCTCAGTCTTTGGAGGCAGCTCTTGGCAGCTGCGAAGGAAAGGTTTCCCTACAAGTACAATGTTATGAGTCGTTTGGCCAACTGGACCGTGATAGAGAAAGGCATCCAGTTTATGAGGAAATCAGCCATTCTAGAGATGGTCTCTTGTAGGCTGGATGCCGAGAATGCATCTGTAGATTCAGATGAAGTCAAATGTACATGACCCATGTGGCTGAAATTTACATGGAGTGCACCATAATCATATGCCCACTCACTGGCATCAATGACCTGGCACGACATAGCACCACCAACAGTGGATGAAGTGATTTGTCAACTCCAAGAGTTCAAAGACAATCTCACCATTTCCACCAATTCAGCTGTGGAAAAACTGTCGCAGGAGTTCAAACAATTGAGAGACTATCTATCCGATCTGTCCAGCTCACCACATTTACCAACCCACGTCTCAGATATTAACTAAAGACGCCCTACTGCTCAAGAGAGAAGATACAGGAGGTAAACGCTACAGGCTGCCCTATGGTTTTACCTGAGGGATCATGGAGAAGACATGAGGAAGTGGGATGGAAAACCTACCTCAGCTCTGGAGGAATGGGTGCGTGAATTGAAGAGGAGAACAAATGTCAAAGATGATCATCCCATGAAAGCTATGGCTTCAGTCTCTCATGAGCAGGTTCCCAGATGGAGTGGAAGAGCTGATTTTGCTCCATCTCCTGTGATAAATAAGAATAATCCCTGTCTACAAGATGTAAGTGACCAATATTGTGATCACTATTAGAAGCGCCCTGCCTCCAGCCAGGTGGAGGTAGGGGACAGTCGGGCTTACTGGACTGTCCCCTGACACATCAGTCCCACAGGAGTATAAGGCTCTAGTAGACACCAGTTGTGGGAAAAGCCAGAGGCAGCAGAGAACTGTCCTCAGGTCACCATCAACTGACTCTGACATCCCTCTCTGATCATCACCCCAGCAAAGAATGAACTTTGATGAAACCAGACGAGCTCAGCAGTGACCAGACAAGTCTCTCCTGCCCTGAAAGACTGTTACAAGAGATGGAGCCTGACATCATGGAATGAATTCAGCAACTTCATAGGGATTTATCTGTGGACTAGGGAATGATACCTATCTCTTTCTCTGTGTGTGTGTGGGGGGCATATTTATGTATATCTGGGACAAAAAGTGATGTTATATTGAAAAAAAAAAAAGGGATCTGAGCATGATGTGAATGGTATGGAATAAGGGGTGGATACTGCCCTGGGCTCAGCTGTAACAGTTATTTTTTTCCTTCCAAGTAGATGGTGCAGTGCTGTATTTTTGACTTTTGTCTGAGAACAAAGCCGTTAACTCACCACTGCTTTTGTTGTTCCTAAGTAATACTTACGCTTATGAAGGACTTTTCATTCTCTCATGCTCTGCCAGTGAGAAAAGGCACTTGAAGCCAGGAGGAAGCAGAGACAGGACACCTGACCAAAACTAGCCAAAGAGGAATTGCATTCCACAGCACATCATGCCCAGTATGTAAACAGGGGGGAGTTACCTGGAAGGCCTAGATCACTGCTTGGGTCAGGCTAGGTATTGGTTGGCGGGTGGTGAGCTATTGTATTGTGCATTACTGCTGTTTATTTTTTCTTTTCCTTTTCACATTTTATTTTTATATTTATATCCTCTCCCCTTGTTATTTCCCTTATCATCATTATTATTGGTGGTAGCAGTAGTGGTTTTGTGTAATACCTTAGTTACCGGACTGTTCTTATCTCAGCCCATGAGAGTTATATTCTTTTGATTGTCCTTCCCATTTCTCTGGGAGCAGGGATTGGGGGGGGGGGGGAGAAAGAGAGCAAGAAAGCGGCTGTGTGGTTCTGAGTTACCAGCTGGGCTTAAACCACAACAAACACAGACAGCATTCTATAGGCAATTAGGAGAAATTTCTGGGTAGGTAGCTCTCACCCTTCTGGGAGATTTTCATTTCCCACACCTCAGCTGGCAATACCATGCTGTCACTGCTGGGACAAGTGAGGCTGCAGAATTCCTGAAGTCTGAGGAAGGCAGCTTCTTTCCACAAGTACTCAGTGAGCCAACTAGGAAAGGTGCCCTCCTAGGCTTGCTCTTTGTGAATCAAGAGGGATGCATGCGAGGTGTGATGGTGGGAGGCTGTCTTGGCCACCCTAATCCCAAAGAGTTGAGCTCAAACTTTTGGGTGTCATGAGGGAAAAGTTCGGCAGATTTGCTACCCTGGGTATCAAGAGAGCAAAACTGAAGCTACAAAGGGACCTACTTGACAGGGTCTCCTGGGTGTGAGCTTTTGAGAACTTAGGGGACCATGAGAGCTGCTCGCTTTTAAAGAACCATCTTTTGAAAGCACAGGAGCAGCACTCCCATTGTGTCAATGGAAGTCAAGCAGGTGCAGCAGAAGAGCAGCTTGGAACTCCTCCTGGAACTGGGGTGGGAACAGAAATTGTATGCTCTCTAGAAGTAAGGTCAAACTTCTCAGGAAGACTGCCGAGCTGTGGCTCACACATGGAGGGAGACATCACTAAAAGGCCAAAGCTCAGCTGGAGATGAAACTGGTCAGTGTTCTGTCAGACAACAACAAAAGGCTTCTTGAAGTATGCTAATAACAAGCAGAGGCCTAAGGAAAGTACTGGGACCTTGACTTTATGAAGATGGACACTGAAAAGCGGGGATGAAGAAAAGACAGAGGCATTTAATGTTTTTGCATTGCCTGAGTCTTCAGTGTTCACGGTAGACCTGGGGCTCCCCAGGTCCTGTGAGTGGGAAGACCATGGCTGCAGGAGCAGTGACTTTCCATTGGTGGACACAGCAGTTCTAAAGCAGGAGACCTTGGGGCCAAGGCTGGACATGGACATCCTGGGGAGAGGCTCACAGGGCTCCACCCCATCTGGGCCCCTGGGTTCCAGAATCAAAGTACAATGGTGCTCTCTTCTAACCCAGTGCTGTCCCAGCCACAGCTCCAGTGCCTGCATGAACGGTGCTGCGAGTGGCAGCACCAGAGGCACTGGCGGTACTTCCTTTTTGTGGAGGAGTACTCCTGTTGTATTTTTCAAGGAGTTTTCTACACGTATGTCTTCCCCTAGCCCTTTCAGGATGGGGCAGTGGCTCTGTTGCTGTGGGTCCAGGTGAGTTGCCCCACAGCTTGGGGATGCACCGGCACAGCAAGGACCAGCAGCAGTCACCTTGCTCATGCCAAACGCCGCCTGCTCTGCAGGGATGACCCTTCCCCCGACCAGCACCGTGAGCCCAATCTGGCATTGCCTGAGCCGCTGCTCAGGGAGCGTGTGTGGGTGACCCAGGGCCGTGGCCAGAAGAAGAAGAAGGACCTCCTCCTCTTCAGAGACACCCTGGTCATCACCAAGACCAAGTAAGACAACCAGAGCCCAGCTGCCTTTCCTCCCAAGCCCTGCCCCTAGCACCAGGGCGCCAGAGCAGGGACAGCCAAGGAGCAGCCCCAGGCCCCTGGCACTTTGGTGCTGGATGCACTTGTGGCCATGCCCATGGCAGGCAGGAGCAAGAGGGGATCCAGTGGGCTCAGCCACCTCCAGCTCACTCCCTGCCGCTCTTCTCTGCAGACCTGGCAGCACCCCACACCCGCTGCTGTGCCTGGCTCTGGGCCTGCTGCAGGTGCTGAGCAGTGGGAAGGGCTCAGCTGGCGATGCTGCGGAAGAAGAGGAGGAATGGAATACCTCCAGCTCCCTTGTCTTCCTCTGGCCCTGTGGCTCCTGTGTTGTCAGTTTCTGGTGAGTCTCGGTGCAACGTCCCACCAGAGGAGTGGGCAGCTCCTCTGCCCTGCCTCATGGGGCATCATCTGCTGGGGCACAGCAGGCACTGAGGCTGTTTCTTCTCTTTTTTTGGCAGCCCCCGAGTAGTGAAGGAACTCTGGATCAGCACCCTCCTTGGGTAAGCCCTGCCTGGCACTGCAGCCTGGGCTGCCTGTGCTCCCATCATGAGGAGATGCTCCATGAGTGGCATCCAAACAATGAGAAAACACCTCTGCTGAGCTGGGCACAGGTGCTCCACAGCTGCAGGCAGAGGTGCCCCCACTGCTGAGCAGGCACATCTGGTGAAGATACTTCATCCAGCTGTGTCCAGCCCCATCCTCACCACTCCCACTGCTCCCGCTCCACTCCTGGGTGGTACTGGCTGTTCCGGGCACTATGGAAGCACTCCCCAGGCTGGCAGCAGAGGGAAGAGCTGGCTTGAGTCTCACACAGCTCTTTCTCTGCCCCTTCCCTGCGCACAGACCACTGGAAGGAGTTCAGGGAGCCAGGGTGACCCAGCTGCCGTCCATCAGGATGGCGATGAAGGAGCTGAGCGGCCGCCATGCTGTGAGTGTCCCTCCGGTCTCTGCTCTGTACCCAGGGGCTCCTCCAGCCCAGCATCAGCTGCATCGCTCCTCACCTTCTGCTCTTTTCCTCTTGCCAAGGGGACGACACTGGATGACGGCAGCCCGGAGAAGGTGCTCCAGCGCCAGGCCAAGGTCAGGGTCCGTTGCAGTGCAGTCTCACCCATCCCCACTTCTCACACACAGCCAGGGGCTGATGCAGCTCTCCAGGGGCCCTTTCTGCTGTGGGGCTCCTTGGTGAGTGCAGCCCATTTCTTGCAGGCTGGTGCCAAGTAGCTGCCAGGTCGTGTGCCATCCGGCATTGAAGGCAGACGTGGCCACATGGATGGTGAGTGTGGAGAAGACAGGGGCAGGATGGCCCTTCTCTCCTGCTCTTTCAGCCTGGCACATGTGTGGCAATGGGGATGCTGCTGCCCTTCCCGCAGGGCACGTCCATCCTCATCACTCTGCAGCAGGAGAGAGCTGAACCCCACGTCCCCTCAATCCAGTATGTTGCCGCCTCTTCTGTGCCCTCGGTGGCAGGGGGGGACAGCACCGAGGGAGTCTGGGAGGGCTCTCCTGGTGCTTTTCCTCCACGGCTCTTTACTCCGTTTCTCTTGGCAGGTGGGACCCACAGGAGCAGGAGGAGGCTGCCCTGGCCATTAGCACGGCCAGGGACCTTGGCTGCAGTAGGGGCACCAGGGCCATTGGGCTCTGCTGGTGTAGGAGCTCTCTTTGTCCAGCCCCTGGCAGATCTGTGCAGCCAGGATGGCATGCTGCCACAGCCCATCCAGGTAAGCCAGCCTGGCTGTGGGGTCCCCATCCGTCCCATCCCATCCCATCCCATCCCATCCCATCCCATCCCATCCCACTGACTCCTCCAGAGAGAGGCTGTCCCTTTCACCTATCTCAGGGCCTGTCTCCAGCCCAGCAACTCTCCTCCTCTGTGCCCTCAGGACCTGCTGGCTCTGCTCAATGAACATGGCCCATCCACGGAGGGGATCTTCCAGCTGGCAGCCAGCCAGCACGCACCCCACGAGGTCAGGGAGGCCCTGGACAGTGGGGTGCCAGTGCAGCTGGAAAACCAGCCCGTGCTGCTGCTGGCTGTCCTCTTGAAGGTGAACCCTGCTGACCCAGAGCCCTGCAGCTCCTGGATCTCTTGGTGCTGATGGGCACCTGCGGGAGCACAAGCAGAAACCCAGCTGCCTGCTCATGAGCCAGAGGGCTAGGGATACTGCAAGTGCTCCTGGGTGCAGTGGCCAAAGCCTCACATGGAGCCCTTGGCCCTGCAGGACCTCCTCCACAATATCCCCTCAAAGCTCCTCGACATCCAGCTGTTCGAGGAGTGGATGCATGCCATGAACAAGACCAGCAGGCAGGAGAAGCTGGCAGCACTGAAATAGTAAGTGTGGCAGCAGCCAGCAGGGACTGGCAAGACTGGGACTCATCAGCAAAGCAATGGCCTGCCTGAAATAGCCATGGCTCCTGCAAGCCACCTCCTGGTGCTGTGGGGTTTATGTTTAGGGGCAAAGGGGCACCAAAAAGCTTTTGTTTCTGGGGATCACTTCCCACAGGTGTTGGGGATTGCTGCAACAAAGACCTCTTTCAGAAGGGCAAGGAGGGAGGTGGCCGTATCTCAGCATAGGAAGTCTCTCTGCTGTAGAGAGGCAGTGGCCTTGGGTGAGATCAGCCTGGGTGTCCTGGGTTCAGCAGTAGCAGTCATGTTTCTCCTTCTTGGTAGCTGGTGCAGTGCAGTGTTTTGACTTTCAGCTTGGGAACAGAACTGATAGCGATGTTTTGGTTTGGCCAAGGACTTTGTGAGCCTCATGCTCTGCCAGGGAGGAGGGGAAGCCAGGAGGAAGCAGCGACAGGACACCTGACCCAAACTGACCAAAGAGGTATTCCATACCACAGCACGTCATGCCCAGGATGTAACGGGGAGTTAGCCGGAAGGGCTGGGGAACTGCAGGGTTGGAGGAGGTATCGGTCGGAGCTTGGTCCGGCTTGGGGGGCGAGTTATTGGTTGGCTGGTGCTGAGGTGTTGTATTCTCTTCCCTTGTTATTTCCTTTATCATTGTTACTATTGGTGGTAGCAGTAGTGATTTGTGTTATACCTTAGTTACTAAACTGTTCTTATCTCAACCCGTGGGAGTTGCATTCTTTTCGATTCTCCTCTCTGTCCCTCCGGGAGTAGGGGGAGGGAAAGAGGGGGGGGGGGTGAGTGAACAAGTTGCCTGACTGGATTTAAACCACGACACTGGGAGACCTGTGCTGTCAACACTGACTTCGTTAACGCCGTGCTCCTGTTCCCTCAGGGTGGCCAGCAAGCTACCAGAGGGCAACCTGCACCTGCTGCAGCACTTGCTGTCGCTGCTTAGCAGGATCAGCAGGAATGTGGCCACAAAGAAGATGACTGCTGGGAACCTGGCCATCTGCCTGGCACCAAACCTGCTGAGCCCACCCCAGGAGCTGCCCCTGGATGTTCTTGCTCTGGAGACAGGGAAGGTATGCTGTGTTTACCACCCGGCTACAGAGTCCCCAGCCCAGACCAGCTTTGCTGCTCAGACGGTCCTGGCTTTCTTCTCCTGTCAGCAAGGCCATGGGTCAGCAGCTGGGAAGAGCAGCCCCATGGCTACACCTTCCTGCACAGAAGCACAGGTCAGGCTGGGAAAGATTGTTTGAGCCCTCATCAGCCCCCTCAGTGAAACCAGTGGTTTGCTGTGTGCAGGTAACGAAGCTTGTTGAGTTCTTCATTGACCACCATGAGGAACTCCTTGGAGAGCAGGTGGCCAGGCTGGCCAGAGAGGGGGATGAGGAGACACCAGCAGCACAAGCAGAGCTGGAAACAACAGGGGTAAGTGAAGTGCACAAGAAGTGTGGCAACAAAAACCTTCCCTCTCAGAAGGTGGGGCTACTGCTGCTGCTACAGAACAAGCATAGTCATCCACCAGCCTGCAGCTCTGCCAAAGTGCAGAGCAAGGCTGATGCAGGTTGGCCATCCTGCTTTGTGAGGTGATCCCACCACAGCTGGCTCAGCTGAGCTGACCAAACCCATCCAAAGGATGTGCTGTTTAGAGCCAGGGTAGCAATTGTGCATGGAGGTCCTTGCCCCCTGCTAATCTACACATTGCCATTGCAGGTGCCTCCTGTTTCTCCCAAGAGCAAACAGCAGAGGAGCTTTTCCAGGGAGAAAAGGTAAAATTGCCTGGCTTTGCTTGGCTCAGGGTAATCATGGCTTCACCTGTCTCACAATACTATTGAATGGAAAGGTTCCCAGGCTCTTCACGCAACACCAGGAAATGAAGAGCAACCTGGGAAGAGGGCCGTGACGGGCCACCATGCCGGAAAAAGAGCAGAACTGATCTCTCAGGGATGGGCAACTGAAGAAATTCAAGCAGGGGAAGAACAAGGCACCCAGGTATGTAGCAGAGCCTGTGTTCCATCTTTTTGCCAAGCTCTGAGTATAGGAAACACTCCTGAGGTGTACAGTATGGTCCTTCCCTCTGGGGAACATGTATGTCAGGAGAAACATGCTACCCCAGCATTGCCTGCCAACCTCTGATTTTAGTATGGCAAAGCAAGGGATGCTGCTGCTAGGTTTTTGGAAAGGACCATATCCCAGATTCCCAGGCTCCCTGCTGAGCCCTGATGCCTGGCAGGGTGGCACTGCACATCTCTTTCAGCTTCCCGTGCTCTGAGGGTATCACATGTATTGAGAAGGGACAAAAGCAACCCTGTAGTTGCCAGTAGGAAACCTGTAAGGAGCCTCTCTCTTGCGCTAGCAATGACCTCTTTTACAGCATACTTCCAAAAAACCTAGGAGCCAAGTCCCGCCTGCTCCTGCCCTCATGGCTTCATCAGTGCTTTCTGACTCTGCCCTTATAGGTGCCCTTTTACTGCTTTGAATTCCCCTCATGCACTCTGCTTCCTGGCCTTGGAGTTCCACCCTGCGGCCCCAGCACCACCTCGGCAGTGGCGAGGACAGAACCACCATGTCCTTCTTCTCTGGATAGAAGGTTCTACCACCTCGTCCCAGAGCCAGAGCAGCTCCCTCAGACCTATCCCAGCCCTTGCAGGAGGCCTTGGTGGCTCACTCCTCCGCTCCGCCGGCAAATCCCCACCCGCTGGTGCATCTCCCCAAGTAGGGAGCTGGCCTCTGTACTTCAGCTTCCCATGTTCACTGCCACATTTGTTACTATCATTGTTACTACAGTGGTTACTACATTTGTTAATACACTTGTTACTGTGTTTATGTTTATTCATCTATTACTCTGTCTTTTAGAACCAAATTTTAGGATATACTTTAGGAAAAATTTAGGTTATAGTTTAGGAAACAGATTATAGGATATAGGATAGATTTAGGATATAGTTTAGGAAGCACCTTATAGGGTTGTTGTTATTTCATACTGTTTGAGTACACACTTCATATGATCATAGAATAGTTAGGGTTAGAATAGGATAGTTAGGGTTGGAAAGGACTTCCAGTAACTTCATGGTATGTCACAAGACTACTCTTTGACTGGCTCTTTAGCTTTGGTAGTAAAAAAGCAGAAAGAATTACAACAGTCGTATCTCTCTGCCTTGCCATCTGCATCCTGCAGAATGGAAAACAGGAAAGAAAGTATACTGAAAGAGTCTTTGGATTAGGAAAGAAATGACAGAAAGATATTTGTGAATGCAGAAGCACTACTGCTACACCTTGAAAAAGATTCAGATAAGCTCCAGAAGAGTACTGCTTGCTGTTGGAATACAGCTGCATATCTTAGACACCTGTTAAGGTCCAGAAATAAAGAGAAACTTGCTTCTAAAATGAAATGCAGGTAAACAACAGAAAAGAGCACTGAATTGCACCACTGTGTTTTCATTGACAACTGCTCATGGTGGGCAGAGAGATGCTGAAACAGAAACAAAAGAAACAACAAGGAAACAAAATTAAAAAAAAAAAAAAAGCAAAACCAAATAAAAACACCTGAAAAAAAAAACATACTAAAACCACAACAGGGGAAAAAAAAAAAAAGCCAAACCAAACCAAAAATATATATATAAAAAATAATAAATCAACAAACACCAATAATCAACCAACCAAATAAAAACAAAACAAAACAAAACAACAAACAAACAAACAAACAAAAAAAACCAACCAACCAAACCCTAAATCCTGTTTTGGAAAAAAAAAAATAAATAAAAATTCCCTCAGATCCCTCTGCACTCTGATGGGATAAACATCAGCTCTCAAGATCTTAGTGTGCTCTACCATAGATGTCCAGTGTTTATTGTGATACTTTATAAACAGAAGACTGGGTAAATGCCCCAGGTGCTACTTCTTCTGATCTGAGAATCAAAAGCACTACTTTTGCCCAGAAGGCCACTGGTCAGTATTTCTGTGATCTGGCTATGTTTTCATTCCATCCTTCTTCACATTGGGTACCAAAGCCTCAAATCTCCTGGCCATGTTGCCATCCCACAGACTCTCTTAGGAAGAGAGTAATTTAAAGAGCATAAGGAACTTCTGTTTATGGAAAAGAGATTGTATTTTATTACCTGGAAAAGTTAGAAAGAACTGGTAAGTTACAAGGGGACAGCCACTTCAAATCTACCTCACCTAAAATGTAGATGATGAATCAAAAGTTATTCTCTATTAGCTGACAATGATAGGAAAGACTCCTCATCTTCTTCAGGGAAAAGTAAAAACCCAAAGCCATACAGGATGTTGGCCAGGGATGGAGCATTCACAACTTCCTTGGGCAGCCCATTCCAGTGCCTCACTACCCTCACAGTAAAGAACTTCCTCCTTATGTCCAGTCTATACTTCCCCTGTTTAAGTTTGAACCCATTGCCCCTTGTCCTATCACTACAGTCCCTGATGAAGAGTCCCTCCCCAGCATCCTTATGGACCCCCTTCAGATACTGAAAGGCTGCTACGAAGTCTCTATGCAACCTTCTCTTCGCCAGGCTGAACAGCCCCAACTTTCTCAGCCTGTCTTCAGACAGCAGATGCTCCAGTCCACTTAGGATGCTCATGGCCATCCTCTGGACTTGTTCCAGCAGTTCCACGTCCTTTTTATGTTGAGGACACCAGAACTCCACACACAGTGCTCCAAGTGGGGTCCCACAAGAGCAGAGCAGAGGGGCAGGATCACCTCCTTTGACCTGCTGGTCACGCCCCTTTTGATGCAGCCCAGGATATGTTCGGCTTTCTGGGCTGCGAGTGCACGCTGCCAGCTCATGTTAAATTTCTCATCAACAACAACAGTTCCTTTTGGTG